CCCAGATGACATTGCTTCAGGGAAGGGACCCTAAGTGTGCCCATTGTACTATAGTATGTGGGATGGCAGATAGCACTGGGGACAAGCAGTCCTGCAGAGAACCCCATCTTATGCCAGGTAGGCCTTTAGAGATGGTAACCAGCACCTTGAATTGTGCCCAGAAATCTTTTGGAGCCAGTGCAGTTCATGAAGTAATTATGTTCACGGGCATACCAAGGTGTACCCCTAACTAACTACACTGCTGCCTTCTGGAACAGTTGTAGCTTCTGGATGGTCTTCAAGGAGCACAATGTAGAGCACATTGCAGTAATCTAACTGGGATGTGACTAAAGTGTGAATGACACCAAGTAGAGCCTCCAGATCGAGGAAGGGGTGCAACTGGCATTGTGCAAAGACCTCTTGGCCGCCACTGCCATCTGCTCTCCCAGCAGGAGCAATGGGTCCAGGAGAACAGTGGAATTGTACAACGGCTCTGAGCAGGGGAGTGCCACCCTGCTCCCCCACAGTTGCAGACAGAAAATCTTCAGTTTGGGATTTGGAGGACCCAAAACCCACAGCCACTGGATTTCTGAAATGGTTAGAGCAATTGGGGATGCCTTATCTATAACAATTCTGCCTATCCTGTCTGTTCATCCAGCAAGGGCATGCTCAAGAACCTGTCCCCATATGAGGTGAGGGCAACTGGCCTAGGCTCTCCCAGTAGCAGTCACTGCATTATGAAAGGGAAGGAGGGCAGGCGGGCGGGCAGGATTGGTTGGGATAAAGATCAAGGGAGTCAATTGTATGAGGCTAAAATACCTTTCAGTCTGTCAGAAAAGAGAGTGAACTCCCAGCAGTCCAAACAGTGCTAGACAGTTGGATCATATTGATGGAACAGTATTTAATGTCATGTTGAATTTGCCTCAGCAATTCTGTTTGCTTCTGCAGTAACTCAGTATTATTAAGTACAGCTTTGAAAATGCTTTATTCTTGTATACTTTTACCCTTTCTAAAATCTTTGCCCTAAAGGCACTAGATTACTCTTTTATCCCCTCCCTTTCTTTTGAACAGGTCTGTCAAGAGCCCAATTACAAGCAAAAGAATAGCAAATATCATTGAGCATATGACCTATGAAGTGTATAAGTATGCCGCACGAGGGCTTTATGAAGAGCATAAGTTTCTGTTCACGTTGCTGCTTACCTTGAAGATTGATTTGCAGCGGGGCAAAGTCAAACATGAGGAGTTCCTAACACTGATTAAAGGTCATAGCAAGTATATCAAATGCTTAGTGTATGGTCCTGTGCTGTTTTTTCTTCTTACCCATGCAACACAGTTATCAGAGATGCCAACCTGATGCTTCACATGATGGGCCCTGTCTACCACTTGATTAAATATTGAATTTGATGATCTGATAAGCCATGTACACTGCAATCTGCAAAATTTTGTGACTTTTTGGTTTAAGCTTCTAAATGAAATTCAACATATGAAATTCAAATCCATGCAGAGTTGGCAACATATTCTTGAATCCCAACGTAGGGGTGTGAACTCCGTTTAAGTTAGCGGGGAGGGGAGAGAGAGAGAGAGAATGGATTAATAGCTCTTTTCTCCTTTTTTTGTTTTGTTTTAAATAACATATGTTTTCAGGTGGTGCTTCTTTGGATCTGAAAGCTTGTCCTTCTAAACCAGCTAGATGGATCCTGGATATGACTTGGTTGAACTTGGTGGAGCTCAGTAAATTAAGACAATTTTCAGATGTTCTTGACCAAGTAGGTACTAGTAGGAGTTGGTATATGTTGTTTTTACAATTTGTTTCAATTGAGAGTTTAATGGATTTCATGGTAATAGAAACTTATAAAAATAAGGTGAATATACTACCTGGCACTTGTAGAACCCGAAGAACTGATATTTCAGAAACAAATGTTCTGAGATCATTACTGAAAATGCTTTATTACCTGTAGTGATCAATTTCATTTCTAGTGGTGACTGTACCCATAAATAAACAAGCCAGCCAGCCAGCCTTGGTTCAGATCTAAAGGCATAAGGGCATCTAAAGAATATTTCTTTAAATATCCTATTTGCATGGAGCAAATGCTTTAGAAGTTAAACCAACTCTGTAAATCTAGTGTAAAAACTTGCTGGTAAAATGCTTGTTGAAGTATGCCTAGGATAAAAGCCCTTCTATTACATTTTGGAGCAGATAAAGCTGCATTGGATAATGTATATAGTTCATTACAGTTAGAACTATAAGAAGTTATAAGGACCTGTACAACTAAAGAAAGATGGTGGTTCTTTCAGGAAAGCACACAAAGTCACTCATTAAGCTATCTGAAATTAAAGTCTTATTCTTTGAAAGTTCACCTCCACAACCTCAAGGATGTGCTGTTCTCCAGCGTGGGAGGAAAATCTATTGATCTCAAAATCACTGTCCCCACAGTGTTCCTCTTACTGTGCCTCAAGAGGCCAGAAGAACTGCTGCCCACACAGGAGAGAGGCTATTCCTGCTACTGCTGGAATGGTGACAGTGCTCTCCAGCAAGCACAGAAGTAAAGCAAGGGCAGCAGAGGGGACGGCTATGATAAGGGGCTGCATAGTGCCTTTTAAGCTGTACAGAGCTTACTGATAGGAATAGCAACCATGAAGGCATAGTTTGCTCTTCCATGAAGTTAATATTTGCCAGTCCCATCCCCGCCCCCAAGGGAAAACAAGCTGCACAAGAAAAGTTTTGGCTTCTTTAGCAATCATTGTTAAAATAGCCAAGGAGGCACAGAATTCTCTGGCTGGATGGGAGGGGGTTGCCCTTCAGTGAGCCAGTTAAACCTTAACAGGTCACTGACCATCCAAAGACTCTTCTACATGGCTAGAATGTTCACACGGGTTTTCTCCCATTTTCCTGTGGAAAACACACTGTCCTGCCAGATCACCTTGATCCACCTCAATAGTAGACTAATCCCAAGATGGTCACTCCAACATGAGGTATGTCCTCAACAAATGATGAACAGGCTATCTTTGAACCAGGAAAAGGGGACTGTGTTGATGACTCCTATGGAATACGATACTCTCTTTGTATTATATTATCAGATCTCACGAACAGAAAAACAGTGGAAAATTTGGTTTGATAAGGAAAAACCAGAAGAAGAACTTGTTCCTAGTGGCTATGACCAAGCTCTGGACTGCTTCAGACGTCTACTCCTTATTAGGTCTTGGTGTCCTGATAGAACTATTGCTCAGGTATTGACTAGGACTGAATGATGAGGTTTTAAGGATTTGTGTATAAGGATCAAGGTTAAAATATATTTGTTATTAAATTTAAGGAATTTTTGTTTTTATATATTATATATATATAAGGGTAGAAAGCTATGATACTATGGAGTTGGTTGAGATGGCGAAATTGATGGCTTTGATTCAAGAAGATGTTGTATAAGTTTAATGCAAATTGGAAACCTTTTTTGGGATTTTTTGCGGGAAACAAAAAAAATGAAATGTATAGATTTGATTATTAGAAATAACATGGGTTAATAGAAATAATGGGAGTGAAGTTGTAAACTTAGAACAAGAGTTTGATGTATATTGTTACTTATATCTGTTGCAAGGAAGGTCAGAAGTCAATTTTTTTTTAATTTTGTTGTTTGTCTTTTTCTTTTCTTTTCTGCACTTTCAATCTTTACTATCTTCTTTTTTTCAGTTTTCTTTTTCTTTTTCTTATCCTTTATCTTAGTGTTAGTTTGTGTTAGTTTTTACTGTTTCTTATTAAAAATTTAATAAAGTTATTATAAAAACAGGAAATAATGTAAATATTTTGTAATTGGATATATAAAACGCTACCACTCACATGGTATAATAAGATTTACACCATTCTTAATTATATGAAATGTTCTGATGGATTGATTGAAGATTCATATTGTATTGTATCAAATATCCTGCAAATTCTTCCCTAGATACTGTGCTTTCAAAGCCCCTGCATTCTTCCTTTTAAATAAATGTAAAATATTAATATATATCTTTTTTTAAATTAGGCTAGGAAGTACATTATGGATACCATGGGAGAAAAATATGCAGAAGGGGTCATTTTAGATTTGGAGAAGACTTGGGAAGAATCTGATCCACGCACACCTCTCATCTGCTTCCTGTCCATGGGCTCTGATCCTACTGATTCAATCATTGCTTTGGGGAAAAGGTTGAAAATTGAGACGCGCTATGTTTCTATGGGCCAAGGACAAGAGGTCCATGCACGTAAACTTCTGCAGCAAACTATGGCTCATGTAAGGCAAATTTTCCATGCTAATTTGGCATAGGCTGTTTAAAAAAAAAAATTAGAACATTACCAATTACTAGTAGAGGTTTAGTTAAGCATGAACATAGCATAACTAATAGCTAGTTTATGGAGCACAATTTGTTTTATTTCTAAAGAGAAAAATAGGATTATTTGTAATCAGTAGCATTCTGAAAAATAAAAATATATTATGTCATTAAATCAATAGCTCCATATATTTTGATTCACAAATGTTGCTAAATTCTAGGCACAATCCAGTGCATGTTTATATTTAGGAGCAGGCAGGAATATAAAGTACATTGCTTGTGTGACACACATTTATGTTGCAAATAAATTGAATTGTCACTTTGTTGAATATCATTTTCAAAGTAAAACTGATTATTGTTGGTGATGTTGAGGGAAACATCATGCTAGTTGGATGTGTGTCTGGTAGTGTTCATCCCACCACTAAGAACCAAATCTATTCTAAGTAGGATCCATAGAATTCTTTCACATTCTTAGTTTATTGGCTATATTTTAGATCCTTTTGGGGCTAGAAACAAATTATTATATATTTGCAAAATATTATGTCAGCACTGAGGAGTTGTGAATTGTAGTATCATTGGAAGGTAACAATAATCTGAAGGCATAGTGTTGATTTCCAAAATGAATAACCAATCTAGCTACATGTCTCTTACAATCTTATTCTCTTAGGGTGGATGGGCCCTCTTGCAGAACTGCCACTTGGGACTTGACTTTATGGATGAGCTGATGGACACTATTATGGAAACGGAGACTGTTCATGAGGCTTTTCGCTTATGGATGACTACAGAGGTTCACAAGCACTTTCCTATTACCCTTCTACAGATGTCTATAAAATTCACTAATGAACCTCCCCAGGGGCTTAAAGCTGGCCTAAAGAGAACTTATGGAGGTGAGTGACTTAACCTTGGCTGTCTTACAGATATTTCATAATTTTTCCCCATAAAATTGAATATTTTATTCAGTTGATCTCAGTGAGACAAAACTATATATCTTGAATGGTCTTAAGAGTGCTTGGAGTATTTTGAGCAGTCAGTTTGTACTGGATTTTCTATTTTAACCATATATTAAATTTACAGGTAAATGGCTATAGGCATGTCTATAAATGGCTGGATGTTATAATCATTTGCTGATCAGTAAATTATCAGTTCAGGCATATGTAATTAACTCTTGTGAATGATTACTGGGAGGATATTTCACTGAGTGTTTTTATTCATAGATATTACATCAAGATTTGTGATTGGTTTAGAGAATTAGGTTTGCTACTTATGTATGGTCATCCTCTTCAAATGTAATGTGTAAGTGGGGAATATAGTATTATTATTGTGTAAGCACTTGTCATATACAGTATATAATTAAATGGGAATTGCAGAGGAAAAATGCACTTCCAGAAAGCAAAAACAAAACAAAACGAAAGCTTTCATAAGGAGCTTTATAGGAAACTTTGTTTATAATGGTCTTAGTCAATGTCTTTGTTACAGGTGTGAGTCAAGATCTCTTGGATATCAGTAACATGGTGCAATGGAAGCCAATGTTGTATGCTGTGGCCTTCGTCCACTCCACCGTCCAAGAGAGAAGGAAATTTGGACCTTTAGGATGGAATATTCCTTATGAATTCAACCAAGCCGATTTCAATGCCACAGTACAGTTTGTTCAGAACCATTTGGATGACATGGACATCAAAAAGGTTAATTGGCAGTAACTGGCTTGAAATAAATCTCTAACAAGCATATATGAAACTTGAAATATTTAGGATGTTGTCAACCAAATGTCTTCTTCATACAATGTAATATGGTCAATTAACCTTTTATGTTAAACACCCATAAAGTTTGCTAGATTAGATTTAGAGAGGAGGATGGATGTCTTTGATATCAGATGTAATATATTGGATGGCTATAATATGCTGTTGGAAGAGAAAGAAGAGAGCTAAAAACAGGGGAGGGATGGTAAAGTAAATTGGAGAAGGATTCCAGTTTAATAATGGGTCTATTTTTAATTCCGTCTGGCTCAGAATAAGATAATATACGTATAGGAATTCTCAGATCTTCCATATGCATACACATGCACATACTGTACGTATACACTTATTTTAGTATGCAGTTGCATGAACATGCCATATGCCCTTTTTTTTTTTCAGGGTGTGTCTTGGAATACTGTTCGTTATATGATTGGGGAAATTCAGTATGGTGGAAGGGTTACAGATGACTATGACAAAAGACTCCTTAACACATTTGCTAAAGTGTGGTTCAGTGAAAACATGTTCAGCCAAGATTTCTCGTTTTACAAAGGATACAATATACCTAAGTGTACTGCAGTGGATCAGTACCTGCACTACATACAGGTTTGTTATAATTAACAAATATATTGGAAGGAAAATTTAAGGTTAAGCTGAAGTTAACGAAACCAAAGCTTTCTTCATTCACAAGGTCAGTGCACTAGTATACGTCCTCCTTAATGAAACTTCCTGTATAGAATTTGCAGACAAGAAATCTGAAGGTATATATGAGGGATACTTCAATATAAAGTACACCAAATAAATATAAATACCAAAATATGGAAAGAACGGAGAAGTTACTAATATGCTAAGTAAATAGATTTCATCACTGCCTCACAGCCTCAGAGATACTAGTTGAGCATATCTCAATAATAAGATAAGAGTTTTAGTCAATCCTGGGGGTGGCCGGTGCCCTGATGTCACTCCTGAGTTATTCTCCAATTCCATCAGTCTTGGAATTTATTTATTCTTTTTAAGTTTGTTTTGATGTTGTATTTTAATTGATTTTATCTCCTTTGTAAACTGTCCAGAGTTGCTTTTCAATGAGATGGGCGGTGACAAATTTGATATAAATAAATAAATATCTGGAAATTCTTGATTTGAAACTCACCTCTCTCTTGATGCAGGGACAGTGAATTTCTTTTTAATGCTCCCATCATTACAGTATAAAGGGGGTGGGAGTGGAGAATGATGCTGACACCATCTGACAGAAGGCTATTGCTGATAAGCAGTTTTAAAAATATAATAAATATATAAATAAATAACGGGTTACAGTTGAACTGAAATGTTTTATTTCAAAGCACTCTAGAAACGTTAAGTTAGATAATTATCCTTTCACCTTATGCAATAGTTTCCTGGAAGGTATTGTATAAATGAAACATTCTCTCTGAAATCTTATTATTTGTTGATTTTTATTTTTGGCAGGATCCTACCCTGTTTATAAACGTGCCCACTTACGTATATTTAAAAGATACATTTTAAAAAAAAGTTCTCTTAGACTCCAGTGTGCTATTTCTCTTTTCAGAAATGTTTTAATTTTAAACCCTCACTCAATAATGCATTCAAATAGGGGGTTTTATTCCTATCAGTTTGATTTTTGTGCTCGTGGATGCTGATTTTTTAAAAAATCTGTTTGGTGTTGCCACTCCATCCTTTTTACACTAATTTCCACCAGTACTTTGGAAGACTCTCTGTCTTACTCTGCTGCATATCTGCTTTATGTTGGCTTGTATAGAGCTTGCCTGCTTATGATACTCCAGAAGTCTTTGGGCTGCATCCCAACGCTGATATTACTTACCAGAGCAAACTTGCAAAAGATGTGCTAGACACAATCCTCAGCATTCAGCCCAAAGATAGCTCCAGCGGAGGTGGTGAAACCCGAGAAGCTGTGGTGGCCAGGCTAGCTGATGATATGCTGGAGAAACTTCCTGCAGATTATGTACCTTTCGAAGTAAGTTATTGAAATCTTGATATAGGAAGCATCAGAGGCATTGGAACTCTTTTTCATTGTGCCTAACTGGAAAAAAAAAGTTTTTTTTTTAATTCCTCTTTTTTTAAAAAAATATGTTTTCTATATACAGTAGAGTCTCGTTTAACCAACCTTAGCTTATCCGACATTCCGTCTTATCCAACGCCCCTAAAAAAAACACAACAATGCGCATAAATCGGTGACGAGAAAAGTGTGCCGCTTGTTTGTGAGCGTGAGTGTACTCTTTCTTGTTGCTCCTGACAGTGCGGCGCCGCAACACAAAAATCAATTGCAACAGGCGCAGTGGATTGTTTTTTTTTTTTTTACCACACTCAATTATTACTGTGTGTTATCCGACATTTTCGCTTATCTGATGTTCTGCCGGCCCGTTTATGTTGGATAAGCGAGACTCTACTGTACTTGTAACCCAGAAATTAAGGAATGAACTGGAAAAGCAAAATAACAAAGAGGCTTATGGTGCTTTAAGCAAAGCAGGTCAGCTTCAAAATGAGGAAAAACAGCCTGTTATATTTCTTTGTTTTAATTGATAAACATAAATAATCAAATGCACCGATATCTGAATAATCAGATCAGTAAAAAAGACTGACTGAAAGTTCTTTGCTTATAAAAAATAAGTATTCCCCAAAAACTAACCTAGTGTGGTCTACATTTTTATACAGTGAATAAGACAAAAATCAATCCAAATGAATAGCAAAATGAAAATTTCAGTCAACCTTTTTGAGTAATATGATCTACTGTGCATGCAGGATATCACAAGAATTTGATCGCTTCCTTGGTCTGACGTGATAATTATGTTTAGATTTATGCAACTGTAGCTTTAATCTTCACATTTCAAAGCTTTTCTGTAGTTTTTAGTTTTTCCTTAGAAAATTATGGGTTATATTAACCCTCTAAATAAAATACTATTTTTATACTTGCATTTATTCCCAGATACCTTTTCCCCACTGTCCAAATGAAATAACTGATAACTGATTCATAGATTCTCAGATAAACTTCTCATATATGATCTTAGTCTTCAAGGAGTACCTACTCCATGTTTCTTTGAAAAATTCTGTCCTCTCATTTCATTTCCTCCGCATAGAATTTTATATAAGTCAGTAGCTATCTGTCTAGGGAACATGGCAGCCAGCATGCTAACTGGCATCATATTTAAATATTCTCTGTCTCCTGTCAGGTAAAGGAAAGGCTTCAGCAAATGGGACCATTTCAGCCCATGAACATCTTTCTGCGGCAGGAAATTGACCGAATGCAAAGGATTATTGCTCTGGTGCGAAACACCTTGACAGATCTTAAACTTGCCATTGATGGAACCATAATCATGAATGAGAACCTCAGGGATGCTCTGGATTGTATGTACGATGCCCGGATCCCAGAGCGCTGGAGGAAGGTTGGTACTTGTTCTTTTGTTAGAAGGAAAATAATGTTAGAACTTCATTCTTCTGAGTTAACTATCCTAATCCAATTATGACATGTTCAAAGCACACATACATAGTTACTGTTAGTTAATTGATTCCTTGTAATTGAAGGCTTGTTCTTACACATTACTTGAAAGTTCTGGTTGCATTTCATGCCACTCCAGTGGGACGTTTCTAGCCCATGTAAGAATGATGTCTCATGTAATAATTTCTCCATGCCATTTCTATCTTACCAGTTTAGTACTTGCAGAGTCCAACAGGATTTTTTTTTTAATGCATTTACTTCTTGAGCAGCATAAACTTTGTATCCAACAGTAATGTTTTACAACAGTAGCTTGATCTGCTCGGCTAGTGTATTACTGCAAGCTTCAGGTGGGGAAGGGCTGGAAGCTAACATGTTGAATGTTCCTTCATACAAGGAGGAAGATTCTGGTTACTCTTTTCTCTGACATCTTGTCTTTAACATGGAGGAATATTCCATCATACGAATCTTCTCCCAAAGTAGGCAGTATACAACTCAGATTGTTTTACTGCTTCAACTTGAAGCATTATATAGTGTAGTTTCTTATGTCTTTTTTTTTTCTTCTGTTTCTAGGCATCTTGGGCTTCCAGCACGCTTGGGTTTTGGTTTACCGAACTTCTTGAAAGAAACCGCCAATTTCATTCTTGGATTTTTGAGAGACGACCAAACTGTTTTTGGATGACAGGATTCTTTAATCCCCAGGGATTTTTAACTGCAATGAGACAGGTTAAATAGCTGATTGCTACACATTTTTATCAATTTGTTTTGCTTTTTATCTGAAATGAATAGCGGTGGAGATACCATTTATTTTCAGAAAAGAAATTCCAGTTGCCTTTGCCTTCTCCTGGAAACTAGGGCTGGTATAATTAGACTTCCCTTTACTTGAACTATATTGTTTTTTGTTTTCATAATTGTGACAAGACATAGAGTGTTCCAGCCTTCTTCTTTTAGTCTGTAACATTGTACTAAATTGGAAAAAGCCTAAGTCAATGGTAAATTATGGCAGGGAAAGGTAGTTTGTAGAAGTCCAAGAACAATGATCTATTGTCAGGAGAGTACTCTAAATCTTCAAATTCAGGCTTTATCCTTACCCTTGATTTTGACAAGCAGACATTTCTAAATCAAATATATAAAAGCTGCCAGTTGTAGCTGGGCAACCTGTGGTCATGGCTCCCACCAGCTGTCTATATAGCTGACAATGGAACACAGCAACCAGCTGACTCCCGGCAGCTGCCAGTGACTCCTATCATGCTGGGGAAGGACAGCTTCCCTAATTTGGTATTCTGTGCTTCCCAGCAGCCAGCCAGTTGTTCTGTACAAGTGTGTGTTTTTGTGTGTATGGCCCCAGCCTCACACCCAGCGATCAGGGAGGACCTCACTGCTAAAAATATTGTTCATCAAGTTTTAAACCTTTCTTTTGTTCAAATGTCTCCTCCTTTGCATGGTATCTTTGTTGCTTCTGTGGTGGATTAAGATAATAAGAAACAGAGAACCTACTGCTTCTTGATCTCTAGGTAGGAGAAAGGGAATTTGCTAACAAGAGGATGTAGACATTAACTGGCTGACAGCTGGACTCCCCTTACAAGGAGAGTGGAGTTTAGAGGAGGTTACAAGGAAATGTTCTGGAAATAGAAACTTTAAAACTTGTTCTAAGTGGTAATTTTTCAAAGGCAGGTGTGACTTCTGAATTTGAATTAATTCTTGATTCCTTTGTAAAACATCTTTCTAAAGTAGCCCCATCTTTCTTATACTTCTAATAACTGGCATATATGGGCTTTCTGAATTAGGCTTTAATATACATTATAGCTGGTTTCCTAGTCAATAAAAGCAGTGATCAGATGTCAGTGTCTCACTTTATAAAGTTTTACTCAGCTTGTAAAACTGACAGAATGCAATGAGTTGAGTGAGGATTCATAAAGAACATGGGAATAAGAAATATGGAAAAAATATCACTTAGGATAGTTTTCACTTACATACCTAACTATGGAAGTTATGTTAGAGAACCAGTTTGGTGTAGTGGTTAAGGCACCAGGGTAGAAACCAGGAGACTGTGACTTCTAGTCCTGCCTTGGGCATGATGCTACCTGGGAGACTTTGGGCCAGCCAGTTACTCTCAGCCCTAGGAAGTAGGCATGGGCAAACCACTTACAAAATCTTGCCAAGAAAACTGCAGGGACTAGTTCAGGCAGTCACCAGGAGTCAACACTGACTTGAAGGCACCAAAACAAAAAAACAAAACAAAAAACCCACTTAGGGTAGTCCTCACTTATAGGCATAACTATGGAAATTGGTATATAATTAGTCTCAGGAGAAAAAAAGAAGAAAATATGCAACTGCAGTTAGCTTTTCTGATGCTTGGCCAATTTATTCTGAAGTTACATAATTGCTGGTTCTTTGGTGGTAGAAACCCTGGTCTTTAACTCCTAACTGTTCCATTGCTCTGAAACAGGAAATCACAAGAGCAAACAAGGGATGGGCACTTGACAGTGTAGTGCTGTGCAGTGAGGTCACAAAATGGATGAATGACGACATCTCAACTCCTCCTCCTGAAGGAGTCTATGTATATGGTCTCTACCTAGAAGGAGCTGGGTGGGACAAAAGGAACATGAAGCTCATCGAATCTAAACCTAAGGTGCTGTTCGAACCAATGCCTGTGATAAGAATATATGCAGAAAACAACAGTAAGTATTAGACTGAACATGATTATGATGATACAGTGTAGTTTAGATTGTTTTACAATTTAAAATGTTCTATGGATTCTGCAGGTTTTGTGGCACGAAAAAATGAAAATGCTTGGATTTTAAATGAAAGTGCTTGTTCTTGTCAGCCCCTGAAGACCAAATGCTGCCATTTCTCTGTACAGGCTCCTGAAAAGCTTTATTTGTAGTGGCTCTTTTGGGAGCAGAGATATTAAAATACTCCTTACCGGATATGGTATTACCATAGTGTGCAAACTGTATTCACTCTTGTATTTCTAGCAACAGCAATGCTAACTTAGGTGCTTTATGGACATAAAGGATCTAAGAAAGTGCAAAGTTGTATTAGAAAATTTGAACTGTGCAAGAAAGGGTCCACGTTTAATTTGAAACAATTTATGCTAAGCCATGTTTACCAATTGGAAGTACAGGAGGCGAGTTTTATTGGCATCTTTCTAGGATTCTGCAAGTGACCCTAAGTTATTCTATGTTAAAAAACTTCACAGCTCCAGCTTCAAAGTTAAACATTTGTGCTGTTACCATCCATTTGCCCTTCTAGCCTGGAATAGCTGACAATTAGGTTTAGAAGGCACATGTACAATAAACAAAAGGAATAGCTGACAATTAGGTTTAGAAGGCACATGTACAATAAACAAAAGGAATAGCTGACAATTAGGTTTAGAAGGCACATGTACAATAAACAAAAAGAGAAAAAAGAGGTGCCCAGGTGCCCAGAACTCAGTTTATTGAGTCCCACATCTTTTAAAGTTCTTTAAGATGATTTTAAGCTCCCTTTTGACATTTTGAATCTGGTGCACTTGCTACTTGAGCACTTAGTCATTCCTGCAGGTGTTCACA